ACTGCTGAACCACCCTTACCTGTAACAGAAGGCAAGATTGTGCAGCTGGCTCTGCTCCAGTGTATCATTAGAATAAATAACTGGCATCTCCTGTGTACCAGGTTTTTCTGCTGCTAATGCAGCATGATGCCTGAGAGCAGCTCTCCTCGCTCTTCTCTCTCTTGGTCCTCCTGCTCTCCTAACTCCCTCCCACATTCTGTCCCTCTGCTGCTGCCATCCCTTAAGCTCTTATCTATTGAATATTCAATAAACACTGTGTTCAGTAATCTAAACTCACTGACCAAATCATACAGAGTAAAAATTAAAAAATACCTCACAGGAGTCACATGCAGTATCTCTCCAAATGACCCTTAGGTCACTTATTCCCTCACTGTCTAGAGAGCCTCACGCTATGAATAATATTGGTGGGAGATGTGGCACTAAGACCACAAAGGCAGAAAGGGTTTTGAAGCCTTTATCCAAGGTCATTCAGCTAACTACTGTGCTGCTGGGTAAAGCAGGATCACATGGAGCATCTCTTCTGTGGAGTTACTCTTGCTTAGAGGACGCCTGCTCAATCAGGTCACACGGGCAGGACTGGCAAAGAGAATACTTTGTGCACGAATCCCACAGGATCTGGAGTTAAACAAGTGACAAGCTGCTTAGAGTTGTCAGGTCAGGGTTTGCTGTGTGCATGCAACAGAAAAGCAAGCACCTGCAGGGTTAGATCATGTGAAAGCCAGCTATGCCTAATTTTAGTACTTAGGTAGGTGCTGTCAAGGATGTGTATACATTCCCTTCGCAAATTTAGCTCTTGGACTGCAGCTAATTTCCCTCTACTACAGCATTTGCATAAGGTTTTATGGGTTCTCCCTGTATGAATGTGTGTGGGTAAAGAGCAAGGGAAATCTGATAATGTATATGAAACGTAAGTACATAGATAATTTTCTTGCATAAGTGTATCATTGCTTATTGCTACCATGACTTTCCATATTATTGATGATTTCTAGCAGAATGGAGAAGTAGCACAAACTTCAAATAAACCCTGTTCTGAATCTCATTAATGCCACATGTGTACGTGTACATTTATGCCTATGTACGTACACAGCAAACACTCTTAATAGCATCATATTCAAAACATGCAGTTAGATATAGGAATCTTTGGTCTTCAGTGCAAGAGAGGAATGTAGAAGAGATTATTTGGCAAGCTTATTTTTGAGTAAAAAAATTGTTTGGCCCTATGCACTAAACCCCAAAATCACACACACATGCACAAAATTGCTCATACCCAGTTTTTGGAGAGTAGCAGTAGGGCCTCCAGAATGCACCCCTCCCCCAGATGTCTTTGCTTCACGGGACATCATCGATGAAGCATGCGATCCTCCTTTGATCCCAGAGGAAGTGAACCCAGCTTTGCGGACGTTTCGGTTAGACATTTCTCTTTCTGATGGTGTGGAATCCACTGAAGAATCACGAGGGTCAGCCAGTCTTTTTATACACTGTCTAACTAACTGCAGAAGCGAAACTGCTGCCACAGTCAGAAAGAAATGAAAATGAAACTTGTCCTCATCCAGAAAACGAAACTGAACTTTATAAACCTGCTCTTGTCAAGGTGAAGTTAAGGCAAAACAATTTCCTCCTGCGATACTAAAACAAATTAGTAGCGTATGAATCCTTGATTGGCAAGTGATGTGGATGAGAGCTTCACTTCTTCATTCTTTTGCATTGCACTCTAGTGTACCAAACGGCATCTGTAGAAGATAGGCCCTTGTTTTAAGAATTAATACAACTCTGAGTAGAGAAAGTAGACAAAAAGGCAGCAAAGAGGCAGTCATGTGGAAACTGCAGCTTGAGTCAGTTATAGCACCCAGAGTTCAGCTGTGGTACTGTGACCCCTGAAAAAAAATTCTTTACAGAGAGCTGGAAATCAGAACTCAGTTAACAATGGTTAAAAAGAATTTCTTTATGGAAGGAACTGTTAGGGGACCCTATGTCATACAAGCAGTTTGACACAGATGTTCTGTTCTTCCTCTTGCAAATCCTGTTAAAGCAGAGCCTCTTTAATGAACAGGCCTCTGCAAGTGGCACACGCTCCTCTATCACAGCTTCTCTTAGCCTGTAATCTAACTAACACTGTTTAAAAATCCATGGGCCTCCTCCTTTAGGTAAAGAGGAGTATCTGATTAGGTCACACAGGGATGGCTCTCAAAGTGGAAATATACAGAAAAAAAACCATAGTGTTTTCACAGTTGTATAATATCTATATCTTGTACATGGTGGGCTATAGGAAAAAGGATATGAAGTCCGTTCTTGTCTTCTTATATGTGCTATTTATCTGAGCAGTGGGATATCTGGCTCATGTGCCACTGAGCAGCAATGCACTTTTAACCTTTTTTTTCATTCAATTCTTCTTTCATTCCTAGAGTTAGTTTTCTTTAATTACAATGTTTGTTATTTTTATTTTCTACTCTGCTTGCATTAGGGCTTCTGTAATTATGATACATCTTTATCCCCATAATATATCAAGTGACTCTTTTATCATTTTGAATTACTTAATGTTATAAAATATCTGAAGTTGCAGCTTAAATGCAAGTAAATTTCCATGTTAGAATACGACAACTAACACTATAGGCTCTCTTCAAAGTGACAATAACACCAAAAGTGTCACTTTCTTTATGTTACAGATCCTTCCTTTGAAACGGCTAAAATCTTTTGGTGCTTTGTTAGTGTAATTTATCTAATGTTCCAAACATTTAATGTTTCCATCAGGAAATGATGATAAAGTCAGGCAAAGACACAGGGAATGAAGGCTTCACAAAGTTACAGAAACTCTATATGTGATGACTGTTTACTCCATTCTAAAACACAATTCCTAATGGATACATACAATGTTGTTTAACTAAAAATAGTTAAAATCAGATAAAATAAAAGCTTTATTTTTAGCGAAGTGCCTCAAGGCAATTAATGATTGGCAGAGACAGCAGCGAATAAGGAGAGAAAGGAGAGATTAATAGTAGCATCATAAAAACAAGGCAAAGAAAGTCGGTGTGTTAAAGAGAGGGAAGGCACCGAAGGGATTCAAGGGAAGTCTCTGTTTAAAAGTGTGCCATGGACCTAGTCAGAGAGGAGGTAGCTCTACAATCTGCTGTGTTGTGGCAATGAGTTGGTTGAGGAACATGTGAGTAGGCACAGACATGGTGCTAAAAACAGCTGAGCTCTGCCTACTTTCATGCTCTTGTTACTGTAGTGGCACGGCACATTAAGTTATGGAGAAGTTCTGACCTGGAAGGGGTTTGCTTTTACTTATCATGAAATCCTGTGACTCTCTCTTGTGCAAAAAAAAAAAAAAAAGGAATGACACAGGTACAATCTGTTGTACCTGTGTCAGAGCTGAGTGTGCTAATTGGTCTTGACAGCTCTGACCAGCCTCCCCTGAGCCTTCAGTCCCTGTCTGAGCGGTGCTGTACTTGCCTGCATCTCCATCACAGCCATACCCCATTGACTCAGTCTGGGCTGCAGCCTGTCTTCATGGCTTGACCTTGGACCTGGCCTGGTTAGCAAGGATAGACTTGCCCAGCGGTCACTGCACTGTGACTGACCCTGGGTTTCATCACCAGACCTCAACACAGTTTGTTGACTCATCTTTCTGGCTTGGCCTTGGACTTGCCTTGTTACTACAAACTTGCCTGGTGTGCCGGGTTCTGTCAGGAAAGAGTTAACTCCCTTTACCGTGGCTGCTAGGAAGCTGTTCCTGGATGCAGGGAGCAGCACTGATAAGTTCTTAGCTGGCGCTGGGGAATGCCTGCACTGAATTCAAGGTCTTTCTCCGCTTCTGACACTGCAGCTGCGTTCCCAGCTCTCACGGTCTCGCTACAGGCAGTGTAGGGGACACACAGTTCAGGCACCTGACCCAAACTGACCAAGGGAGTATTTCATCCCATAGTA